GGAGAGTCTTGCTCCGGTATGGGCAAGATGCTTTACAGAGTGCCTCAGGAGGGGGCACTTTCCACGACAGTGGAAGCTTGCGAGGCTCGTGTTGGTTAAGAACCGGGCAAGCCGGATCTTTCCCCGTCCTCGTACAGGCCTTTGTGTCTACTGAACGAGGCGGGGAAGTTATTTGAAAGAGTCATTGTGCGAAGACTCCAAGTTTTTCTAGACAAGTCAGAAGGAATTGCGAGCGGACAATATGGCTTCCGGCGACATCGTTCGACAATTGATGCGATATGGAGCCTCAGGGAAAGGGTCGAACAGGGTACATGTACGGGATGGGGGTGTCGTGGTCGCGGTGTCCTTGGACATCGCGAACGCGTTCAACTCCCTCCCGTGGCCTATTATTAGGAGAGCGCTAGGGGAGAAAGAAGTTCCGGAGTATCTCCGGAACATTCTCCATAACTATCTCTCGAATAGGGGTATGTCATATGTGGATCGAAGAGACAGACTAGTGCAGGAAACGATGACGCGCGGGGTTCCACAGGGTTCGGTCCTAGGACCGACCCTGTGGAACATAGGATATGATTCGATCCTGAGAGCGATCATGCCGACGGGGTGTTCAATATTATGCTATGCGGATGACACGCTGCTGATCGCGAATGCTGCGACATTTGACGAGGCGCGTGTCAGAGCTGAATTGGGGGCTACCTATGTTATAAGACTAATAGAGCGATTGGGATTAAAAGTATCAATCCTAAAGACCGAGGCGGTCGCGTTTACCGCCGAAGAGATACCGCAGGGCGCGGCTATCAGCGTCGGAGGGGAGGTGGTTCCGATCGGATCTACCGTGAAGTACCTGGGATTAACCCTTGACTCGCGGTGGACCTTTCGGGACCACTTCCGCTCACTTATGCCCAGGGCCTGGAATATGGCAAAGGCCTTGGCAAGAATCACCGCCAACATCGGTGGTCCCGGCGAGCGACGAAGGAGATTATATGCCACGGTCGTCATATCTGTAGTACTATACGGGGCCCCAATTTGGGCACAGACAATGGCGAGAGACCGAGTCATATTAGGGAGCGTGCGCAAGTTGCAGCGGCAACTTGCGCTAAGAACAATCAGAAGCTATCGAACGGTGTCGCATGAGGCAGCGGCTATCCTCGCGGGGATGGTCCCGATCGACTTAGCAGCGGACCGTATCAGGCGAGCGTATCTGCGTAGGAGGGACATCATCGTCCGGGATGGCATGATTACCCCGCATGTAGGGGCGATGGTACTGGAGGTCGAGCGGTGTCGCTCGATCTCACGATGGCAGAGACGACTCGACGAGCTGCCCCCGAATGGACCGGGCGCGATCGTGCGAGGGACTATCGGGGAGGACTTGGAGGTGTGGATTGGGAGGGCGCATGGTGCCCTCACATACCGCATAACTCAAGTCTTGACGGGGTACGGGGTGTTCGAGTCCTATCTATACAGGATAGGACGAAGGGACACCCCGATTTGCCTTTTTTGCAGAGCGACGAGCGATAC